CCCCCCCACCCCACCCCCAAATCGGGGCAGTGAACCAGCTACCCGAAAGGAGTAGAAATGCAGAATTGACATGGCACTTGCATGAGTGTCCGTGTGAGAGAGCGTTCGCTGGGCCTAATAAAAGGCTTGACACTTATTTTAGTTTTGCCCGACTGTAGCATCTTCGGGGAGACCGTGCGTAAAAGATGGGCTGTGCACCCCTCGGGACAGCGGCTGCCGCACTGGAGAAGGAACCTTTAAGAAATGGTGTTCGTCACTATTGGTTTTAAGAAACATCCTTGGACATTTTTGCCTGTTTTCATCAGGAAAGCGTACTGCCAGTCTTTATCCTTCGCCCTTCTTTCTTTCTTTCTTTCTTTCTTTCTTTCTTTCTTTTCTTTCTTTTCTTTCTTTTCTTTCTCTCTCTCTCTCTCTCTCTCTCTCTCTCTCTCTCTCTCTCTCTCTCTCTCTCCTTCCTTCCTTCCTTCCTTCCTTCCTTCCTTCCTTCCTTCCTTCCTTCCCGTTTTGCTCTTTAAAGTGTGATAAACCAGTTGATGCTTATTTTCCTCCTCTTCAGTTCCAACTGCCCGGGCAGTTCTTGTCGACATGGAACCGAAAGTGATTGGCCAAAGTTTATCCATGGCTTCAAGGTCTGGAAGCTGGACATATGACCACAAGTCTCACTTCTGCCAGAAGCAAGGGTCAGGCAACAACTGGGCCAAGGGGTAGGCGTGCTTTGAATCGATGCAAACAAAGAAAGTTCTGTTTGTACTCCTGAGCTGAATTATACCCTGCGGCTCAGCTACAAGAAACCTCAAGAGGTTTTAGAGTTCGACCAGGTTTTAGCTCAGACAAGCCAAACTATGGTTTGCAGTAACCCGAGCTTCGAATCCGAAATGTAGTTTGAATGTTCCCACGTACGCTATGGGTTGGAGCCACTTGTCTGAAAACTCACTTAAAGCCACGTCTCTAGTTCTGATTTGCCAGTTCATCGGAGATTATGGCTTACCAGTTCAGGCATCAGTCAAAGCCACAACCCCATGTACAACTTACTTGAGAATAAATCCCGGTTAACTTTTTAAAAAGCCTGCCCTAAAGTCCCAACCCCACAGAATCAGGTTGCAAACCTGCAGCCCCTAAAGAACTTCTGACGGCCCTCAGAAAGTTCAGGAGTCCAAGGCTGGAGGTAATGCAGGAGGAATCAGAGCTATGCTCCCCCCCCCCCGACCCTCTAGGTTCATTCTAAGTCTGGATCCAATCCGGTAACTGCAGACACTTTTAAACAGTATCAAGCCTCAAATCCCACCCATTGTCTTACCCTGGGAGGCCTACTGACTGAGCAATAAATGCATGGCTTGCGTAGGCTGCGAGGCAGCGTTGTGGAGAATGGTCGCTGAAGCACCCCTTCCCATCCTCTCATCCTCTGTCTGGGCACAAGGTACGCCATCCATGGACCGAAGCACGAAGAAGCCATCATGAACTTGGTCCGGAAGGAGGTCGAGAAGTGCGACCGACTGAGTGGATTTCTGACGGTGATGAGCATGGCTGGCGGGACGGGGTCAGGCCTGGGGGCGTTCGTGACGGCCAGCCTGAGAGACACGTACCCAGCCTCTTTCCTGCTGAACCACGTGGTCTGGCCTTATGGGACCGGTGAGGTAGGTGCTGCAGCTCTGGCAGTGGGGCACGGACGCCAGGACTGTCCACCCACAAGGCGGGCGCTGCCCTGTTGGCCTGCAGGTAGAAAAACCAGGTGGGCAGCCTCGTGGGGAATGAGACTCTCAAGGGAAGGCATCCAAGTGGCGCTTCGCAGGTAGGACGTGGCCTCTTGCGCTGAAGGATGGATACAGAAGCGCAGAGCGGACCACCTCTCGATAGACAAAATTGTGCAGGGAATGCGTCCGAGCGGCGGGGCCCACTGCAGCCCCCGAGAACCTTCTGTAAGCAAAGAAATCGTGAGCAGCCCCGATTGGCTGGATGCTACCTGCAGGGTCAAAGGCAGGGTGCCAGTGCACACCAGTTGCTGGGGAACATGAGCAGGAGGGTACCGTCGCATGCATCCTTGTGGCTCTCCCGTAGGCAGGTGGCTGACCCCCACGAGGACCGAACGCTGGGTCAGCCGGACCTGGGGTCGGTTCTAGCAGGCTCTTCCTAGGTTCTTCGTGTCTGTCCCTCCACCGAAACAGCATGTGTTTTCCCTGGTTGCCTTCATTTTTTTTTAACCTTTCCAGGTTATTGTCCAAAACTACAACTCGGTCCTCACCCTCTCGCACCTCTACCAGTCCTCGGATGCCCTCCTGATTCACGAGAACGATGCCATGCACAAGATCTGCGCACAGCTCATGAACATCAAGCAGATCTCGTTCCGGGATGTGAATCAAGTCATTGCCCATCAGCTGGGGAGCATTTTCCAGCCGGCTTATACCTCCGGAGGGGCCACTCAGTATAGCAGGAGCCCCCTAGGTATTTGGTGCCGACTGCAATGCTTTGCTCCCTACTTCAACCTTTCGCCTCTTGCTAACTCCAGCATCGTAAAGCAGCCTTGGTATAAGTCGCTAGTCCACAAGCTCTCTCATCAGTCTGTTTGCCCATGTAAATTTAGATTAGTTTTTCCTTGCTGAAGAAATGGGTGCATGAGACTGCACAGTTCGGTTTCATTCTCTCCCGTTTCTCTTTCCCAGGGGACTTCATGGAGGCTTTGGTCCCCCACCCCGAGTTCAAGATGTTGGGCCTCCGGAATATCCCTCAGATGTCCGAGAACTCGCTTGCCTACAGCACTTTTGTGTGGCCCGGTCTCCTAAAGCACCTGAGGCAGATGTTGATTGCAAATGCCAAAATGGAGGAAGGTAAGGCTGCCAGGTGAACCACAGGTGTACCCGCCACGCGGCCTCCCGCGCTGAATGGAGCGCACTTGGGGGCCACCCCCAGACGGAGCAGGGCTGGGTTTGGGCCTGGGGCTTGTGGTTCTGGATCCTCGCTTTATGGTTCCTTGCTGAAGCGAGCCACTCGGGTGCAGCCCACAGTCGCGGGGCTCGGAGCACAGAACCGTTTCTGCCGAATTTTCCACATGCAGGCATCGACTGGCGAGTCCGGCCTCCCATACCTGGCCTCCCAGTGCCTGAGAAACCGTCTCCCAACAGCAGAGCTCGTTTTAACACCTCCATTGCCAACTTGGTTACGCTGCGAGGGAAGGACGTTCACGGCGTCGACCTGGGTGAGACCCTGCCACGGATGCTGCAGCGGGGGTCCTCCGTTTCCGCTAGCTTTCCCGTGGCGCTTTCCCACAGTTAGCTACAGGAGATCGGAAAATAATAGTTCTGCTCCAACCATCTCTCCACAAGCATTTTCCAGCCTTCGAGGCGAAGGCGTGGGAGCACCAAGGACCACTCCGTTTGACCGCTGCCCGTCTCAAGACAGCATTTCTTTAATCCTGAGAGCGTGGAAGCATCACAGGCCGCTGCTGTGCTTTGCTGCCACCCAGCACTGAAAAGGCAGCCGTGCCAAAACCTTGGCCGGATGACTTTTTAATCCTTTTAAAAATAGCACGCCACAGGTTAAAACCTGGAGGGAATAAAAGCAGTCGAAAGACTGAAAAAGAGAAGCACGCCAAGTCCTCAACCAGCACGTGCTCCACAAAGGGGGCACCCCCCCCCCCCCGGAAGGCCCTCCCTCTCTGGCCACCGTATCTCGCGGTGGGAAAGATGTGGCGGCTGCGTCTTGCTTTTTCACGTCCTCTTGCTCATTCTAGGTGGTTTCCAAGAGCCTGCGCTGTACACTTCCTGGAGAAATGCACAGGATGCCTTGACGGTGTGGAAAACCCCGCGGGCCTTTAATGGCTACGAGAAGTCTGCGTCTTTGGTCAGCAACAGCCAGTGCTTGGTGAAGCCCCTGGACACTGTTGTGGGGAGGGCCTGGAAAATGTTTGCCTCCAAGTAAGTGGGAGACAGGATGGCGTTGCCTTTCTTGCGAAGCCACTGTCGTCTCAGTCTATACCGTTTATTTATTTTGCGCTAACTTTAGGCTGCCTTTCAGGGCTGAACCTTCTGCGGGAGGGATGCAGGATAAAGAATCATATAGAAGAGTACAAACAGGGAATGTATTAATATGCATTAAAGTCTCATAAAGCCTCAGACAAGCAGGTTGTGCCGGCAACCTACACTGCACGAGAAGGCCAGCCGGACGGGTGGGGGTTCAGGGCCTCCCCAAGGCCTGCAGTGAAGGGGTCTGGCAAACCTTGATGAAAGCCAGTTCCTGTGGCGCAGGGCCACTGCGAAAAAGGCACTGCAGATGACAGGAAAGACGGGGCGTGAGAAGGCGCTGCTGCTTAATTGCCAGCAAACTGGGCGACGCAAAAGTGAAGTGAAGGGCCGTTCGCTAGCTCTGAATCTGGCCACTGGAACTGAAAGCGGCGGACAAAGCTGGTCACAAGGCCCGTGACTGTGGTTTAGTCACAGCTAATTTTGGCTGGCCTCTCGCACACCAGAGCTCCTCTTGCTTGCTCCGTGCAGGGCTTACATTCACCAGTACACGAACTTTGGGATTGAAGAAGACGACTTCCTGGACTGTTTCACGACCCTGGAACAAGTTATCGCCAGCTACGCCAGCCTCTGATTCCAAATGCTTTGCCGGCCGGCACGGAGCAACGCAAGCAGTGCAGATCTGATCCGGATTCTGGATGTGGGGCGACCATCTTACATAAAATGCCGGGGGGGGGGGGGAGTTGCGGCTGTCCAGCTTTGGGGGGGCCTACAACTCCCATCAGCCCTCTAGCACAGCCCGTGACGGTTTGTGGGAGCTGTAGGCTAAAATGTCAGGAAGGCCGCAAGCTACACACATGTAAGGTTTGGCTCAAGACTTAATCATGGCTTTAGTCCACCCACCGAAATCCATGGGACTTAAGTTAATTCACACTTGTCCCACTCATTTCCGTGGGCCTGCTCTCAACACGATCGAGCCTGGCTCCAGCCCTAGATATTTTCAAACTGATCAAGTAACGCCGTGACATGGAGGCCAAAACAGTACAGCGTGACTAGTCTTGAAGAGGTGCCCAGTTCAGTGATCTTGCAAACCTGGGAGCACCTCCCAGCTTGGCAAAGAGCGCCGTGTTTCTGCTGAAAGGGCAGAATCTGATACGCCTTCTTGCTGAGCTGCTTTCTTTGCAAAAAGGAATGTAGCATTCCCTACCAACAGCAGAACGCCTGGGAGTTGGGTCCGAGGCAAAAGTCTTCCGGGGGCCGTGTGCAGCTGGGATCCAGGCTGAGTTATGTTCAAGGGGACGACCTTCCCTCCCCATGGGGACCCCTTCAGCCACCTGAAAATCACGCGGAGAAAGTCAGCAAGACCTGGCCAAAAAGAGCGACCTGCTGTATGCCGAAGGGTGTGGGAAAACCCCTGGAAGTTCAGACTGGAGATCTCTTCCTCCTTTGGATGGCAGATCCTGGCTCTAACCCAGGAAGCCTAAACAGCACAGGTATTACAACCCCATGCTTGGATTCACTGGCACACCTGGTTTGTACCACCTGGGATGTATATAGTTGGTCTATGAAATAAATTTATTTTACGCGAGTATCACCCGTGCGTGATTTAAGAGTGTGTTCTCCCGAGCTCTTACTTACACCTTAGCGGAGCTCCAAGTACTTTTGCTGGTTTCTCTTTGCAGCCGTCGCATGCAGCCGGCTCGGTCGGGACCTGCCTGCCTGCCTCGTGGCGGACGCTCACCGCAGTATGCTGGCAACAGCTCGCCACAGTTCCAGGATTAGCAATTTTCCCAGCGCGGCTTGGCAGATTTCAGGGAGAGTGTTTCTGGCCCATCATTTCTCCTAGGAATTCAGAGCAGCAAACGTCTTCCTCCGTGTTATCCTCACGACGACCCTGTGAGGTCCTGTCGGCCAGGACCACTCCATTAGCGGAGCAGGTGATCCAACTGGTCCCAGCCCGGCGCTGCAGTCCAGTGATGGGCAATGCTTGGCCCCCCGGCTGTTCTGGCCCGCAGCTCCCAGGGGTCTTCAGACAGACTGAGCCGAGCGGGGCTGATGGGAGTTCAGATCGCACCCGAGGTGCTTCCAGCTGCAAGTGAGGCAGCAGAGGCCCCTCCACGCCCCCCCACTCCTGCTTGACCGGATAGCCCTGCTGGTCACCTCATCCTGCCACGTATACCGTGCAGCATCCATGAGGGACTTGCCGGCCTCACGCAGTGAGTGGCCGGCTGCTAGAAGTGTCCCTCTTGTGTTTCGGGAGCGAAGATTTCCAATTTGGGAGGTGCGGCTGCTGTATAGTTATAAAAAAGCCACAAGATGGCAGCCTTATCTAGCCTTAGGCAGCGCAAGGGAAGGGTGGACCAGGATTTAATTTGATCACTAGCCCAGAGCTGGGCAATAGTGAAATGCAGGAAGTACACAGTTTCTCCTATCTGGAACCAGAGACTCATTTGCCAATCGACATTCGAGGACTGATAAAGGTTCCAGGAAAAGAGCAGTGTGCATTTTGGAGGCCATAACCAAAAGCCCTAAGACTGTTTTAAGAACCTGCAAAAAGTCGATTCGTTTAAAGAAGTACGTACCTAGAAGTTAACTTTTTAATTAATGTAAATGTGCCCATATAGTTGAGGCCTGCCTCAGCCTCAGCCTCAGCACATAGCTTGCAGTCCACGGCGTTTGAAGCCTGGGGGCATTTTCTCAGGGGAAGGACCGCTTCTCCCCTTATGAGGATGAAAATGGGGGGGCGGCTCCCTCAGGGCGCCCGGGCACGCTTCCCCTCAGGCTGATCAGACGCGGGGTGTCCTTCCCAGAGGACCTTTGCATGAGGCCATTGCGGTATGAAACCCGCGGGCAAAGATGGGTCCCAGAAAACGGGCCGACCTGCCCCAGATCGCCGGCCCCAGAGCCATGGTGCGCTTGGGGCCGGCCGGCTCCGCGCTTGGCCCCCTCCTGCCTCTTCGGGAGCCGGTCCCCGTCCCCCGAGGGAGCCCAGCAGCTGCTCCTGGGGGCTGCGGCCGCGGGACGGGCAGGAGCTTGGGAGAGGCGGAAGCGCGCGAGGCCGGTTCCCCCACCGCTGCCCTCCCTGGTCTCTTCGGGACAGGCTGTTCTTGGAGCCGATGAAGCCGCGCCCGGGGAGCAGCTGCTCGCCCTTCTGGGAAAGCGGGTTACCTGCTTCTGCTGAGTCACAAATCCGGATGACTAACTTATTATGCTGCGAGGGAAGGGGCCAGAGGAAGGCAGGCAGGCCGGGCAAGACTTGTGCAGCTGTGAAGAGAGTGAGCAACACACGCCGGGGAGGGGGAAGGCAGGGGGACAAAACCTGCCTGGAGCTGAGGGAAGGGGACACGGTGGGACGGTTTGGCTCGAGCCGCTTGCCCTTGAGGGAAGGGCAGAAGAGGAGGCACGGCTCACTCGGTAAAAAAGGTTTTCTTTTTGCAAGAGGAGCCGTGTTCATCTATCGCAGGCAGAACAGAGAGGCCTGGTTTGCATGTCGTGATAACTCGGAGTACGATTTGATTGGCGTATGGACTGGATGGAAGTGTGGATGTCGTCCTTGCACACCCACCCCTACAAAATGAAAGACGGCCCTTGTTCCTGCCGCGTAGCTTTCCCACAGCCGTCCGTGTAGAGCACATAAAAAACCAGACGCCAAGTCAATGGGCACCTGTTATTCAAACAGAAAACCAGCCGCGCCTCCGATAACGCTGTCGGGGGTTTTGTAGCTGCCTTTTTTTTCTTGCTTTGTTTTATTGCTCAGAACATTGCATGAAACCGGCCTCTGCATTCCTCTCCCCCCCACCCTTCTGTGTGTTTCCTCTTCCTCGCTCCCGCCCAGAGTCCCTTACGCAAGGCAGCCGGCGAGCTTTCCACACGCAAAGGGCGGATAAACGCTGCCGAGCCCGGAGCCAGTCTTGGGCCGTGTGGGGAAGTGGGAAGCGGCAGGAGAACAACGCTCGTCCTCGTGCAAACGGCCACGGCCTCAAAAGCGGAATGGGGCCCTCTGAATGCGGCAGGGGCGAGTGGCCGGCCAGCACGAGAGCCCAGCTGGATAAGTCTCCACGGGCCTCTTAACACAAACTCTTTGGGAGGGCAGGGCAGAGGAGCTGCTTGGCTAATAGTTATGGCCCAACCTCAGGGCTGGGTCAGGTGAGGCTTGGATGCGCACCTGCCGAGTGCCCTCGCCTCCCAGGGACCCACGGACCAGAGCCCGGCGTCGCTCCACCTCTTCTCCATTGCACTGTGCCGCTTCTCCCACCTCCCGCCCTGGCCCAGACAACACCTGGGAGGAGGGGAAGGGGAGAAGCCCCCGCCAGGCAAGCGATGGCCATGAGGGGCAGGAGCCGGCAGGAGCAGGTGCCGAGAAGGTCCTGGCGCCCCCAGTCCAGCTGAACCTGCTGGCTGCCTCAGTGCGCCATGTCCCGGGACAGGATAGCCCGAGGGCCACATTCAATTTCAGAAAAGCTTCCCCACTGACGGATGAGGCCAAAGGCAAAGTACGGGGAGAGGAGAAGCAAAAGGTGGTCCCTGAAAACACCTGAGTGGCCTGTGAGAGAGGCCACTCAGCCCTTGAAAATGTTCACACAGAAAGCTAAACGAGGCTTCTGGCCGCTAAGTGTGACGGGGCTTTAGCACTCTCTCCTGCACAACGGGCATAGTGGGGACACACAAATGGGGGAACACTTTGGGTTTTGCCTCCTGGGCAGGAGAAATCATGCAAGTTTGCCAAGCAGAGAAGCATCTGGAATGCCAGGCACAAGATCTTACATTACATGTCACCGAGCCTAAGACCCTGCATAAGAAATTCAATTTTCCAGTGTTACCCCAAGAGATGTCCAAAATTCCTTGCTGACAAGCCCGCGGTTCGGAGACGTGCCTTCCCGGAGGGCCGACGAGCACAAATCCTGCCGCTTCCCTTTTTATCCCCAAGAGAGCTGGGAGGAACTTCTGGGCTGATCAGCCCAAGAGCCACTGGGAGGGGGAAACGAACCTTGGTCTCACTGGAGAGTTGTGTTGTGCAAGGAGGGGCAGCAGGAAAAATGAAGCAAGCGATCGCCGTTTTCCCAACAGCGTGCGGAGAGTCTTTGCAAGCCAAGCTCTTTCGCAAGACGCTTCCAAACCAAACAGGGCGAACCAGTGGCCTGTTCAGAAAGTTGTGACCCCGAGGGTCAGCACACACGTAACGCTAAGCGCTCCCAGGGCCTCGTGAGACAGAGATTCCCGTGGGGCAAAGGACGCCCAGTTCCGTGTGAGACAAGCTGACCCATGGCCTGGCCCGGCATTTGTCAACTCAATTCCTGCAAATTTGTTTATGCTATCGGACTTCCCTCTCGCTTTTTTTCCCCAGCTTTTAAGTGTTCGGGGGAATTGTCATCTTTTATGTGCTTGGCAGGCTGCAGCTTTGGAGAGCTGCTGGATTCAAAGCGATTAACTAGTAAAACAACTCTCTGTAACAAGAATGTCTCTTTCTCCTCCTCAGGCAGAAGCACCAGGAATGTCAAATGAGGATCTCTTGCTTCATTCGAAGGTTGTTTGTCAAATGCGGAAACAGGAAGTCAAGAAAAAGGAGTCCCGCCGATTTTACAAGCGTAGATGTCAACTCATTCCCGTTCAAAATGCAACAGCCTTTGTACAGGGAGTGCAGCAAGTTCAAGAAGGGCACCTCAAAGCGCAAACATCCCGTGGAACCAGTTGCCACAGGATTAACAAAATAAATAAATAAATAAAAGCCTGCGCACAATACATACAAAGGGCATAGAGACCGGCAGCCTTGAAGAAAAGATCTGGAAAGAAGAGGCCAGCGTGCCAAAGGGAAGCGGTGGGGGGTTGGGTACCTGATCTAGTAATTCGCCCCTACCTTCCGGCTCTCTCCTGTGTTTTAGAGCACTTCACTTAGTCCTTCCTAAGGTTGTTCTAATTTTCCAGCAGCCAGACTGGAAACGTTACAAGAGAAGTCCCCTGCCCAAGGATTTAAATATTCAAGGTGTGCAAAACACAAAACCCAAATAAAGGTGGCGTCGGATAGCAGCACTTTGCCTGGCCGCACTGCCAAGAAACAAAACCAAACCAAACCAGGAGGCGGCAGAGAGACGTGTCGGGGGCTCATCGGCTCCCACGCGCTGGAGATCTCTGGGGGTATTTTCCTGGCGAGGCAAAAGGCGTCCTTGAAAGATGGGCTTTGGGGAGGAAATAATGGGAGCTGGTGGGTGGCAGAAGCTGGGCCAGGACTTAAGCTGCCAGGACTGATGTTCCCAACCGAGTAAGTTTCTCCAGGAGCTGATTGTGTTGCTCCTGCACAGGTTGTTTGCTCCTGTTGGCTTTGGTATGAATTCATTTCCATCGCACACTCATCTTTAACTTAGAGGCTGGTAAGAACAGCCAGGTGAAATGTCAGGTTCAGAAGCAAAGCTGATTTTAAATGTGTGTTTAAGAAATCAGAGATGTTTTGTATTTTGGTTTTTTTTAAGTACTTTTAGTGTGGTTGTCCTGTATTTTGGAAATGTGTAGCAAAGTGCAAGAGATATTTTTAGATACAGACAAGTGGTTCATAGATTGATGAAAGAAATTTCTCTAATCGTGGCTTGCAGATGATGGGAAATCTCATCAGAAAGAGGGAATATTCCGAGACAGCTGTTTTTGCTCATTCCAAAACAGAAGTGTTTCCAACTATGGTAGTTTCAAAATGTATTCAGAATATTTAAAAAAAAATAACTTGTCCCCTTTCAGATCCTTCCTCAAAACTCACATTTTCCATTGTGCTTTTGGGCTTAACCTCTTGATTTTCAACCACAGCCACAATCATATCTAAGTACACGTAACTGCCTTGTTTACTTCAGCTGTAAGCCAATTGCTCTCAAGATACAGATTGTAAGCCCCTTGATGACAGAGACCTGTTTGCTTTGCTGATCAAATTCCGTAATGTATCATGCACTTCAGTGCTGAATGAATGCACAATGTTATTCTCCATTATACCATAAGCCACTGGCGCAGGTATAACTTCTGAACAGCAGGTGCCCAAACAGAACAGTGGTCGTACCCACCTCCCCAAGAAGAGCTCCAAAATTCAGGCTGCTCTTAAAAGCAAAAGCAAACCGAAAAAACAGCCCTAGCCGTTTTAAGCTCAGCCGGGAACAGATCTTTTCAAGGGATGACGAGTCTTAACTGTTCAATTCTGACCCAAAATACTTCACAGCCCAGCAGGAATAGCTTACCACAATGTTTTTTCTGCTGGGAGTCCTATTTGTCTCCCGAGTTACTGAGAATTTTCAGCTGATCTTACAGGGTTCATGGAATTCTTTCAGGATGATGCAAGATGACTTCATCATCCCTTCTACTTAAGAGAAAAAAAAATCCTGGAGCAATGCTGGAACCACTATGCCACCAATTATAATCCTGCCTTCTCTCACACACACGTCCTGATAATAGCCTATGTTCAAGGCAAGAAAACGTGCTTCAGAAAGAGCTCTCCCCCCCATTCCCCGCACACACAGAGAAGGCGGTGTAGAAAAGCTGAAGCCTCTGAAGGCTACCGGAAAGGCGTCTCGTAGGGGACTGTCCCCACCTTCCACCTCCATCGCTAAATGACTCCTGCCATCCCGACGTCCCTCATGTGACCGGCCCTTCGCATGCTTTGAGAGCCGTGCTTGCTTTTGAACAGAAGGAAACGCAAGGTTTTCTGTCTGCAAGCCCTTCCCTCCGCTCTCTGTGCTTCTTCAGTGAAAAAGGCACTCTCCACACGCCCAGAAGCTCTTCTACCTGCTTTCCACATCCTCCACTACATCGTGTTCCAGGACTACAGTCAATGCCCTGAGCAAATGATGGGCATTAAAACCTAACTTAGCTAAGCAACGCATTTAGAGTTTATCAAATGAAGAACCTGTTTTCAAGCCAATGAAAGCTGCTAGTGTAAGCAACCGGAGTAGAGCAGAGCAAACCCTCGCTCCTCTCTCTCTATTTAAAACATTTCTATGCCACCCCCATCGCAACAAAGCCTCGGGGTGGCTCACAACATACATAAAAATACAATCAATAATTTAAAAACTGGTACCATCTCTATCCCCCATGCTCCATCGTAACTGGGAATTCTCCCAAGGACTTTGCAGAAAATCAGTTCTTCAACAGTTTGGACAATCTGGGGATTCCTGTGACTCCAGAGACTCAGCAGAATTGGGATCTGTGCCTCTTCCAGGATTAATGCCATGTTTTTATTCACCACTAGGTGGTCGCTGCAGATGGGGTGGGACATGATATGGTAAACTGGGTTTTGTTACCCACTTTGGGCCCTTGGGATGGGGCCGCTGTAAGTCCAAATAATAAAGTTCAGTGTGGCTGCTAAAATCATTCAACCTGAGACAGAAAAGAGGATTCTCAACAGGAAGAGTTAGAATCTGAATGGGCTGGAAACTAATCGGTCCTGGCGCCAATTTATTTATTTATTTTTTAATTTGGCAAACTAAATTCAATCATTTTGAATCTTTTACATTTTGGCTCAGTCACTCCTGCATTTGATTGGAAATATTACCTCAACCAGATTCTAGGGTTTTGCATCTAATAAAAACTAATACTCATCCGCTGGCAGGGAAAGGATTCAGCAGCATAACCTAAATTGCACATACTCACAGACCTGTCCGCTCTGAAGACTGATAAATCGGTTATTCTGTATGAGTGGAACCCTCTAGAAAAGATCTTTAAAAGAATATGCAGGTATTGACTTTATCATTGAAGGAGAAGGAAGATACTGACTTCGATCAAACATGGGACTCTTTTTATTATTGGCTAGAGAAACGGGACTTCGCATAGATTTAAATACATTTTAAAGTTATCATAAATGGAAAAAGAAGGGTGTGGGGGTGGCCCAGTAGGCCCGATGTTTTTTTGATGATTGATGTTGTCTTTTTAGGTTTTTTTCTTTGTTCTTTAGGATTATAATTTCAAATACAACTTGTTTAAAAAAAATATGCAGGTGTTTGCCCAGATGCCTGCTAAACGTGACACAGTTGAGATGGGGTTCAAGAATGAAGGTTGTCCTTCCGGCGTAACAAAGGGGGTACCCCTGACATCCTGCAAGTCTGAATGGCTCCAGTTTTATGACCAAGTCCTTCCCACCTCTCCTCTGTCCATCACATCCCATCCAGCACTGCTTCATGGGATCATGGTGCGACGTTCTTGCTTTCAGCGAAAAATGTACAAATGGCTTCACACGTTTTCTAAAAAGCAGCAGCTGGAGTCCCAGTTGCTTTGACAGCACACATTAAAAAAAGTTTACTCCCAAATTACCTTGAAAGCGGAAGGCAATTTGGGAGGAGGAAGCGGCCCTGAAAGTGGAACATGGGAGGAGCGCACATTTACTGTGCGCATGGGTATGCACAAATAAAAATCAGATACAGGCTACTTAGAGCTTAGGGTTGAATCCTGAGCAAGTTGAGACAGAAAAGTCGGTCGTGCTTGCAGCCCGTGTTCTTGGTCACCCCGACTGAGGCAAGAATGAATGTTTTTGTCTGCAGTGCACGGCTCTCCCACAAATCTAGTGTTTCCTGAATTGCAGGCCTGCGGCGTTACAGGAGTGCAGAAAGGAAGCGAAAGGGCTTCTCCCGCCGTTGCTCTTGGCCATTTTCTTCCACAAGCCTCGTTCTCCAGGCTGGTTTCCCGTTCTGGAGGCCTGATGGGCATTGTGGAGAGAGAGGGTGGCAGATGGGCACCACACCTCTCTCTCCGGCTGCTTCCCCCCTGCAAATGTTATACAATTGAGAACCTCTGTGTGTGTGTGTGTGGGGGGGGTTAATTTGGTGTTCTAGCTTCAAAGAGACCTTGGAACACAAAATCTCCAGATGCGATTGTGTGTCCTTTGCTCAGAAAACTGAAAAATGAAAGCGTGGTTTCACTGAAAGTCAGTGCACAAAAGGGGCAAAGGACCACATTAAAATAACTGTGTGCAGATTTTAAAAATAATATGATAGAGGGTAAGCCATTTAAAAATACTGCTTAATGGTTTTCATGATGACGATTGCATGCTCAAAGTGCACACGGAGTCTCAAGGAAACGGATGGCTGAATTTTAGCTGGACTTCCTAGTACAGGGACAGTGTTTGTGTCGGCTTGACAAAGGTCCCTGGACAAATCCAGGCCTGGCGGCACTGAACACACAGGGCAAGAGTTTGGGCTGCAGGTCGAGCATAAAGGTGGCAAACACCGAGGAGGCCCTGGTGCAACAGAACGTGCACAGATCTAACTGGATCAACTGGTGTGTAAAAACAGGTTGCCTGGAGGGCTTCCTGAAGAAGGGAGACTCCTATGGCTCAGAATAGATGAAAGCAGATGGTTTGCACGTGAGTCGGGAGCTTCCGGTTCCACACGGGCAAGAGGGAAGTCCACGAGGTCCCTCCCTCCCTGTCGCAAGACCCCCATCCGATGCCAATCACGTCATTCCATTCTGGAAGGGCACCCAAGCCTCTGGATTTTCCCTGGGTCCGCCGAGGCAGTGCAGGAAAGGACATGTGGGGAAATCCCATGCTGTGAATGGAGTTCCATTTCGTTTGTGGGACGGTTGTCGGAGGATCCAAGCCACAGGCGAAGCTCGGGGGTTGGCTTCCTTGAAGTGGGACTTCTCCCACGCTTCTGAAATGTGAAAGGCTTCCTTCCCACATTACCCTCCCTAGAAAGCCTTCGTGAAATCTTGCCATCCCCACCACGTCAGCCAGATTTTCGGACATGCCCGAAACATCCCTCGAGAAAGAGTCTTCTGAACATTACCGTGAAAAAGATCCTACAGCGACTTACCACATCAGCCCAGGTTTTTCTGTTTTGCTTTTACAACTTTCTGAAACAACTTTAAGAAACCCCATCCCAGGATACGGATGACTACCACGGAGCGACGAGTTAAAATAACGTTTATGGTTTATTGTTTTATTAGTTATTCCATTATCTCAACAACATCGGTGGGTGTTCGACAAACAGCCTGACGATGAACAAACAAAACAGCCAGGATGAAAGATACCAAAATGTCAGACAGCCTACCAACTGTTGTTGCCATGACATCCAACGGTCAACATCAGTCTGATAAGCTATCCAACAGAAAGGTAGACGCCACGGAAGTGCCACAGGCCTAGGCAAGCGGGACACACGGCCAGGAGCAAACACACTGCGCATGGAGTACGGCTCGCGTGACAAACCCGGTTCCCCCGTGCAAACCTGCAAGAAACCCAGCTGGTATCTGAAGCAGATTCTGTAGACGGTGTGCTCAGAGGAAGAATGCAGGACTATTATGGACGTCACTCAGAACCAGGACTTCCCGAGCCAGAAAAGCCGCCAACCCCAACTCACTCTGGAACCTTTCCATAGCACCCTTAAACGGGAGGGAACACCCACCAGATTGTTCTTGAGAATGGCCTGGAAGGCTCTGGCTTTGCTGGGGACGGGGCCCGCTCGATTAGGGGAAATGAGCGCTCACACAGACTGTTCTCGCTCTTATACTGCAGCCGAGAAAAGAGAGTGCAGCAAGAAGGGTGTGTGATTTGAGGGCAACTGGGTAAGTCTGAAAGATGGAGGAGGAGGAGGAGGAGGAGCAGCAGCAGCAGCAGCAGGATTGAAGCCATGAAGCTCTGAGTGGGTTTGGGCCAATCACGGAATCTCAGCCCAACCTGTTTCACAGGGCTCTTGGGAGAGTAAAATCAATAGATTATGTCAGCTGCCGTCGGTCCTTTACAAGAGGAGGAAAGGCAGGCTATAAACATAATGTGTGCACACACGTGTGTGTAGTCAACACACAAAAGCAGCTTCCTCGGTGACCCCCCCCCACAACCCTGTAAACTGACTTTCTTTCAAAGACTGACCCTGGGCCATCCTGCCTGCAAACTCCGTCAAGGTATTTCAGGCATCAAAACAAAATCCAGAAACATACTATTTGCTGTGCTCTTTTTAAAAGGCATCTTAAATACGAATGTGAAGGGTGTTTATTCCAGTTACCTTTCTTACACCTTTGATATCACCAAGTGCATTTCTTAATGAGGCTATGCGAACGTCATGCGAATTAACGATTAAAACGACGACAACGAACACCCTACGCATCAGGTTTCTTGTCAGTTAAATAAAAACCAACCAAACCATGTCAAAGGGCCCATGCTTTCTATTTCATCCACCCAAGTCAGACTTTCTAGAGTAAACCCAAGAATAAAAAGGCCCAAAGGATCCTAAGTAGCATTCAACAACAGGAAGGGATCGAGTTTGCAAAGAAACAGAAAAACAGCAACTAAGTATACAAAATGGGGAAGAGGAGGAGTTGGGAAAGCTTTAAAAGACCAAGACAAGGAGGTCTGGAATGATCCAAGGAGATTTTATATGTATTTATCATCTTAACGTCATTCTAGATGTACAGATTTTTTTAAAAAAAGGAAAGAAAAGAAAAAGAAAGCAGAAATCTGGCAATTAGACGGCACCTGGTCTCTCTGTTCACAAATGTTATAAAGGTTTGACACTTCTGTACCCATCCGCCCGCCCGAGAACAGGACACAATGAAGTGGAGAACGTTCAAGAACTCAAGAGGTCAGCACAAGAACCATGCAAGGCGGTCAGTCAATGGTCAGTCAATCTAAGACTATTTCGGTTAAAGACTGGGATGGAACGTCCCAGCTGCCGACCTTGACAATTGCCCTCGGCGGCAAGCGGGGCGGCAAGATGTTTCAGGAAGTTTTGCGTTGTGCTGCTTGCTTGCTTTTAAAAAAATAAATAAAACCCAGTAATTGGGGAAGCAGGTCACTTCCATGGAGAGCACCTCTGTTAAAACAAGGAGTTTAATGTCCCCCTGCAATGTCCCAACGGGATGAAATTTAAACAAGAGCACGCATTTTACCTTTGAAGTACAAAAGGTGGTTAATGAGAATCACTTGCTAATGGCAGGGTTACTCTAACTGTAGAGTGGTGGAAAACAGTAATAGCGATCCCCCCTCCCCCAAGAACCAATTCACCCTCTCCCACACCCCTCTCCTTCAAATAATGCCTTTTTTAATGCGAGGCTGGTCATCCCCGTTAAATGTGGGGTCCCTCTCTCCCTCCACAGCTCATTTGGTTTTCTCCTCTGAGGACATTTGCTGTTGGAGACGCTTGGCGTAGCTCTGAGCCATGGAATTAATAATGGACAATATGAAATAGCACACCATGACAATCACCAACTTTTCAAATGTCCAGGACAGCCAGCTGTCAGCCTGCAGCAAAAACAAAAGCAAAGGGAAAGAGAGAGCAAGAGAGAGACGGACGTGAGTGACGAGGCGCCATGTGAAACGTTTGTGTGAATCGCTTCCCCCGCCGCCCTGTCCTCGCGCCCCAAAGTTTTTGTGTTCAGCCCTTCGCCATCCACCACGCTTTGTCGGGCCTCTCCCACATCTGACTTGTCCACCCGGAGCCCCTCCCAGGGCTGAAAGAATTCCGGGAAATACTGCAGGCTGCACATTCGATCCGATCCGTGGGGGTGGCACTGAGCGAACCTGCTGGACCGCTTCGTTGCCTGCCCCACGGGAACCTGGCTCCGCGGTGGGCCCCCTCTCAGCCTGGCCACTGCCGGTCGAAGGAGAAAACATGGAGCCAGGTGCATAAATCGCCCGACCTGTTCTAAGGACGTCTGCCCAGGTGGCCCAGGGCGGTGCAGCAGCCCAGGTGGCTTGGTCCCCACAGAGAGGCTAGCCTCACAGGGGAACGTATGGATGCAGGGCGAGGCACGCAGGAAACTGCCTTGAGTGCAGATCCGCATATTTGTTTGTCTCGGGCTCCGAGCCAAAAAGCCCTCCTTCCCATGACCGGGGCCTCGGCCCCTTGGACTGGAGACCCCGGGAATGAACCTCAGACCTTCTGGATGCAAAGCAGGGGCCCTGCCAGAGAGCTACACCCCCTGCCTGAAGGAGGATGGGTGGAATTTGGACACACAACTTGATTGCAGAAGCCCGTGGAAGACCGGCTTGTGCACTCTCTCTTGGTCTGGCTCCTCAGTTGTGTCCGTAAAGGTTTACATGAAGGCAAGCGTTGATCCGACCCCTAATTCATGCTCACGAGTTCATTAAAAGAGAATCCACCAAATAGCTCAAGGTGGCCAGCAATGACTCAAATGGTGGGGCTGGCGGGGTGGGGGGGGGGGGAAGGCTACTGAAACTTTGCTGGGATGAGAGTTTCGAGAGGAAAGGTATGCAGACAATCTCTCCTTGGGTCAAAGGAGGGCAGCAGCAAACATCAAAAAAGGGTTTCCCACTTTCCCTTCCTTCCCTAAGACCCTCTTTCCGTTTCCTGGTGCCTCTCAGATGCCCACCTTTCTAAGCTAAATGATGGAGGGACGGGGCAGAGTGGGAAAGGTGCAGCGAACCAACTGAGCAGACATGAGTCTTTTAGGATCCTGGCAGAGATGATACTAATCCTTGGAATATTCCGGTTGGAGGCACCTGGAATTTATCCCGATCAAATTACAGCACTTTTGGTTTTGCAAAGTTTCTTTTCATTCCCGCCTCCCACCCTTTTCTTAGACAGCAAGCAAGAAAGGGCTTGAATTTGAATTCAAAAGTCCTGCAAGGTAGCAGTTTGGAAGGGCCCTTTCATGGGGCTTGTGAAAGAGTAAGATCTGGGTGTCGATTATCGTGCTGGCAAATTTTTATAAAAAGCATAGCCGCTCCCTGTTACTGAGATGGGCTTCAAAGTTTCACCTGAGATTCTGGGAGTTCGCAGGTTAAATTCGAATGGGGAAGTCTGATCCTAAATAAATGGGTTTGGTAAGAGTGTGGCACGGGGGTCTTGGGGGGGGTCTGGGTTGAAGGGAAAAGACTGAGATTTCTCACCTGGGGTGCTCCATCAGCTCTGTGGTGGAGCTTCATCCGCTGAGCTTCCAAATATTCTTGAAAGGGCTTTTGAAGCGACGGACCTACACGGGGGACGGCACTGGTGCCAGGTGGATTCCCAAAGTGCAAGTGAGGCAAAATGTGGGGCAAGGGAAAGGGGTTGGGGTCGGTGGTGGGAGAAGAGAAGGAAAGAAGACAAGAGAAATGATTTGAGGAGGAAGGAAGGAAAGGGGGGGCGACCCCTTACTGCTGAAATCCAGATCACAAGCTAAAGGAAGAAAAACCCGATCCCAACTGAAGTTTGTGGGAACGGGAACATCGTGGCATGCGTGGCCGGGTTTTTGCCTGTGGGGAAAGCACAGGGAGCGCCTTTCAAAATCAGAGGAATTAGAAAGAAATATGAGGAGAGGAGGAAGAGAGGAGAGGAGGAAAAGAGAACCGTGTAAACCGTTGGGGGGCGGCCAGGGGCGAAAGGGGGGAGAGACAGGAGGGCAGCCAGAGCCCCTGCGCAGCAGCCAAGCGCCCGGGCTGCGGGCGCAGGAGGGCTGAGGCTTGCAGCAGCTCCACTTCCTGGAAGCCAAGCCAAGCCGAGCCGAGCCGAGCCGAGCCGGGCCGGGCCGGGCCGGGCCGGGCCGAGCCGAGCCGAGCCGAGCCGAGCCGGGCCAGGCAGTGCCCGGAGTTCAACAGAGGCACTTCTGAGAAGCCCCAACCATTTATCCCCAGAGGTTCCTGTAAGAACTGGTTTGAACCGATCGGCGAGGAAATGACTTGGGCTTGTGTCATTCGCCCCAGTTTAAAAAAGAAACTGCCCGCCCCCCCGGCGCCCACGTGACCGGCCCCCATCCTGTCTCCGGGAGGCGGCCCCGGGCTCCAAGCAAGTCCTTATTAGGACAATTCCTGCGTCATCCTCCCCACCCCCACCCCACCCCACCTTGCCCAAAAAAGAATGCATGGCCCAAATCCCCAAAGGCGGCGGGGGGGGGGGGGGGAAAAAAGGAGGGGGAAAGCCGGGGGGGGAAAGGGGACGGGGGGGGGGGGGGGGGGGGGGAACCAGCCCGGCGCGCTGACCCTTTGCTTCTGAATCATGCCATGGTTTATGGCCGGTGACTACGCAGGGGAATTACGGTTCCTGGACACACCTTGCTCCGGAGGAGGCATCGGGAACACTGATAACATTCAGAGCATGCACAGAGTGGGGGGGGGGGGAGAGGGGTTCGGCTCTGCAACCCGGGCGGCAGGACAGCCTTTGTTTCCACGCAAAGGACGTGGCCGGCAGAGAGAGATCAAGCCAGTACCTCGGGCGAGGTGTGTGTGTGAATGCGAGGGAGAAGCGTGCGCGGGCGCGCACTCGGAGGATCCCGGGGCAAACTCGTCTCCTGAGCCCCAGCAGCAGCCCACGGCCAAATGCCAGCGACGCGCCCTCTGCCACACACAGACTAAGCCCCCAGAAAAGCAGCCAAGGGACCGAAGCGCTGCCGCTTGCCGCACCCCGGGAATCATCCGCACCCCAGGCGGAAACAAACGCGGAGGCAGGGAGAGGAGCCCGAGGCGGCGAGGGCAGCAAGCCTGCCCAGCCCTGCCCGCCCCTTAGGGCCGCGCCGCTGACATCAAGGCCTGTGCCAATGCCACCGGGGTGCGAGGAGTTCCCGGCCGGAGCACCCCAGGGGCGCCAGGGTCAAACCCGACTTAGCCACGAAACTCCCCAGCACATCCTGGCGCGGCCCCCCCTCCCTCAACATGGCACTTCTCGGGTGTGTGGGAGCACAAGTCCCACAATTCCCGGCCAGAAAGCTGCTGGGATTGTGGGAGCTGCCCCACAACACAGCGGCGAGGTAGCCGGCTGGGGTACCTCGTGCAGGCCAGGGCAACCTTCTCTAGCAGCCGCCAAAGGGCCGGCAGAAAGGAGGCCTCCGGCTCGGTTGGGACTTCTGCTCCAAACCACTGGGACCTGCAGGGCCAGCGAGCACCTTCATCCCATCTTTGACCCGACCGGTTTCACAGAGGCATCACAGGGATCAAAGAGGGGTGGCGGGGCAGGAGGAAAGCTTCACCTAAACCAACTTCCCCTGCAAGAAGCAGGATGCAAAACCAGAGAGACTCTGGTCGTTTCCTCTGCCAAAATATTTCAAGGGTCTTTGAAAACCCAAACCAAAGAATGAGCAAAGCAAGATAGTATCACTTCAGGGTGAGACATGAAGGACAGGACAAAGGGGTGCTGCCCAATATGTTTAATGCATCCAGTCCTGGGTTTTATATTTTCTTTTTTGACCAGAGGGCAGGTTTTTTGTTTTTTTTTTCTTTTTACCACCCACCATTAAAATGTCAGCATCTTATCACTGACCTTTTAGTCTTACACACATGTAATTTTAAAGCACAAACCTCTCTTTTTCTCTCTGATAAATTCAGTTTGGTGTTGTCAACTTTTCGCAAGTTCAAGACAACCAACTCTTTCAGTATGTAATATGTATTTTCCTTTGAAAAAAAGCTGTTGAAAAAAAAGGACCAGTCCCAAAAGTAGTCCCAAATTTGTAGGGTATCCTTCACCAGTCATTGAAAAATATAATTATTAACATTTAACATACCATAAAGTAATTTTTAAAGAAATCTCCATGGACTGGACAATGAATACAATTCAAACTGGAGCGACTTGCTTTAGAACTGGAAAATGTTCCTTTAAAAAAAAAAACCCCAAGGAAGATCTCTTTCAAGGTAATGTGATTAAGATGAGAATTATTATGTCAGAGAACTTCATAACCTTTTAGCCAAAACCCAAAGCAGGATTCATCATCGTTTCATAGCAATTCTCCAGAATGACTCGCCCAGCAAAACGCATCATCCTGTCGAGAAAAACTAGATGACACAGACGCCTGATGGATGAGAGAAAAGAGCTTTCGAAAGGTAACCATTTATAGATAAGAAATGCTTCGGTAGTGAGAGCTGGATGACAAGCAAGAATTATTCAGCTCTTTTTAATTGCAAGAGCTAAACTCATTAGCGATCAAAAGTCAACTGCTGAACAAAGTTCACAGCTTTCAGGACTGGGTAGGTTTCTTATCAGTGCATCAAGAATTTGCTTTTATTCTCTCATATTCTCTGTCCCGTAAAAGAAAAGAGCTCAGGGTGACAGTCCTTGTGAATCTATTGCACAGCATATATTTTAATAAGTTATTTTGTGGTCTTGGGGGGCTGCTTATTAAATTACTCAACTACTGAAAATTTACAGCTTGTCCAGGAAATGCATATCATGCAATTTTAACAGAGAAGCAGGAAAGCCCTCTCTTTTTTAAAAAAAGAATGTGTTAAAAGGCTGTGTGCTTCTGTTCATGTGACTTAATTATTTTAAACTCCTGTCTCTGGTGTTAGGTCTGGATTATTTAGCAGCAGTCTAAATGTTGGATTCCTCTTTGCCATTTATGTCATAATGCACAAGGAAAAAGCAATTAAGTTGCTGAAGTGGATTTCCATTATCCAGTTAAAGGAAAGCAAATCAAACAAACAAAAGAAAAACTTTTTAATGATGATCTTGACTAAGAAATCTCAAGGTTTTGGGCAATATGTTATAAAAGTCAGCCAAGGAAAAGCCTCAGCTAGGTTCTGCAGGAACAAACATTTCATGAAAGTTTTAACTGAGAGTGTTGCTGCTGTTAATCTAAGAATATCAGTGTGCATGGCAATTTATTGAGTACAAGAAGACAAGTCTCTCCCCTGTATTTTGTGTGTCAAGAAATCTGCCTTTTGCAGTTCATCAACATCTTACATCACCAGAAGCACGGTACTTGCTGCGAGCTGGCAATGCAGTTCCGGCATTCTGGACACAAACACACACGACATGCAAAGTAACCACCCAAAGGGGTATCTGGACAAAAGATAGGGCATCAGCCGTCCAGTTCAAAATTGTACCAACAAGATAATTGTACCATCTTCAAAGCAAAGAAGAGAAGCAAAATTTTGTAAATAGAATACATTACAGGGGGGCCTGACTTTTAAAATGCGGCAATTACTCAAAGTTGGTTATAGGTGTTATTACCAAAAGTGTTCTTAAAAAAGGAGGAGGGAGGGATTCTCAGCATCTTGAAATTCTTTAATATTCCTAGAAGTTCTAACAGATCACTTATTTATCATGGGATTCCCCACCACCAGCACCACCTTTCTGGAAAGAGGCACCAAGGGTAATTTAGCAATAAATATATCTCCAAATAAGAGCACAGCAATTTAAAGAGTATAAAAATCTTTATCAGTGATATTTATATACTGCTTTTCATAAAATTATATTATTGCTAGTGTAGAGTACTCTAAATTCACATCACATCTCACTTTAGAAGGAACTCAGCTCCAGAATTGTGCAAGATATTTTTATGACATTTATGTAATAAAAAGACCCCGCCAAGTTTCCCCAGCCTATTGATGCTGGAAATCACCTTTGGATTGAGAATGACAAAATAGGGGGAAATTGGAATAATTTGCCCTTGAAAGGCAGCAGGCCAGTTTTACTATCTTATAGACCTATCTGTGTCTACTGAGAAGTAAAATCCACTGAATTCAACCGGCTTCCCTCCCAGGTACATGCAACTTAATGGCATTGCCCTCAGAAAACCAATCGTGTGATCAATTCGAGTATGTAGCACTTTCCCACCCCTCAGATACGAGTGGGAAGCTTTTACAGTGCAATCCTGTACATGTCCTCTCGGAAAAAGACCCCCATTGAGTTCAATAGGATTTACTCCAAGGTAAGAGTGAGCAGCTTTGCAATAATTCGTAACCTGATGTTCAGCTCTGCCATTCAGATTAGTGGAACTTCCGTTAGATTGAGCTCCAGACAGTTTGTTATATATTAAGAGTGTTTTAAATGCACCTAAGTAGCAGTATTCCCTGGGTGGATTAAAAGAAATACTGTACAGATATATGAAGAGAAATTCACTTTCTCTTATTTCAGCCTCTGGAATAGGCACAGTCCAGAGCACAAGGAAAAGTCCAGAAATCATCCATCCTACTTAAAAGTATTGGGTTGCGGCCACTGTTTGCGTAAAAAAGAGAACACCTTAATAAAAAGACTTTTAAAAACCTTTTGCTGTAACCCTGATTTTAAGAAGATGGAGGTGG